AGAATTAAGTGAGGTAACGCCTAGAAATGGCCCTTAGCAGAGCCTGGAAGTAGTTGGTGCTCATCGGTGACGCCTGTTGCGTTGTTACGATATTGCCTCCTTTTGTCCTGTAGGGACGCAGAAAGATCACTGCCTGGTCTCCACACCAGGAGTAGGTGTGTGTGTGCTCGGCAGACAGTGCGCTTTTGTCTTACGGACACCGTGAAGTCTATGTTTGATATGTTGCCCTCTTCTCATTGTTCACTAGAGACTCAGAGGCAGACGTGGTCCCCGCGAATGTGCAGGGTTTCAGGGTTTCATGGCTGTGCCCTGACTGTCCTGACTTCCCTCCTCTCATCTTTCTTTCGTCTTGTTTTCCCTGTGCATTCACCGCACGTTTTATTTTATCTTGTGTGTACCCACGTAACGGTCTTTAAACCCTCTGGGGAAAAGATGGGCGTCCTTTTCAGGCTCAAGTTAAATAAAACAATGGGATCTTTTCCAGAGGCCATGCCGAGGCCTCGACCCTTCCCCTTGTGTTATTTCTCACCGTCTGGAGGGGTGCGGCAGGTGAAGCACGTGGCTGGGGTTCTGCCTGACGTGTGTTTGCATGCTATTTCCGCCTCTCGTTAGCTTTGTCACTTAGGGTGAGTTCTTTACCGTTGCCGATTCTCAGTTTCTTTGTGTCTGACGTGGGGAGGATGCTTTCTTTGCCGGGTAATTGTAAAGATTAAATTAGATAATGGTCACGTATGAAACACTGCCTGGCACATAGTAATTTCCTTCCTTCCTTCCTTCCCTGAGCTTTTAGCTGTCATCCTTAAAGCTGAAGACGTCTAAAACTTTGTTTCCAGTGTGGCTCGTCAGCCGTTCCAGATTTCTAGGCGCCTTCTGTATACTTCCGCTCAGATGCTGCAGCAGTCACTTTGCCTGTCCCCTGCTCAGCCACTTCCACTTCCGAGACTCCATGCAGAATCCCTCCACCCTCCTCCTCGGTTAGCGCTTCTTCCTGGCGCACAGCATTGGCTCTGCCACCTTCTGGCTCAGCATCCTGCTGTGGCTCCTTGCCCACGCTGAAACACCTGCACTGTCAGCCCGCAGAGTTGGCCCCACCTGCCCACTGAACCCCGTTTTCCTGTTGGCCTTCGCAGTACAGATGGGAATGACGTGCATGTGGAAGAAGACTTCACCATAGATTCCTCCTTCCTTCTTTGTGAAAGGTGTTCCATTCCGTTTGCCATTTTTTTTTTTTTAGGAGGACTTTCACTCAGAAGGAAAACGTGTCCTCTTTTGCTCCTTAGTCCTTTCGGCTGTGGCCTCATCTTCCTGTTCCTGTTTCCTGCTCTATTCCTGTGGCTGGTGGGCGTGACTCTACTTACTTATGTGCCAGACACAGGCTGGCGTGATGATAGGAGTGCCTGTCACCTCGCTTAGTCTCTGTGGCTCCTTCTCGTAAACCTTGTCTGCTTTATCATAGGAGCTGCATGCGGTGGGAGGGTAGGGAATCTGCTTACGGAGCGAGTTTCGTTATGCTTCTGGAAAAATAGGAGAGGCGTTTGTGTGTTGTGTTGAGGTGTAATCCCCTTCTTTAATTTTTGAGAGCCTGCCTAAATGATTTTACTGAACGTTTTGGTTCTAGTACATGCTGGAAAAAAGTACTTCTCGGGGAAGTAATTTCAGATACAAATGAAAAAACAAGTTTGGACATAGCCCAGAAAATATGTCAATATTTCATAGAGGAGGCTAACGCTATGCTCCGAAAGGTATGTTTCTAGAATTTTGCATACTTTTCTTAAAGAAGTTACTTGTTCTCTACATGTTGGTGGGGATGTTACACCTTCTTAGGGCATTGTTTTTTAATTAGTGCCTTAAATAAATGAATGTCAATGTTATCTCTCCTTTACTGTTAACCTTGTGTCTGCATCTTCTAATAGGTAAAATTAGTGCGTGAATCCTTGGTAATAGATTAAGGACGCTTTCCCCTTTATTTTTATTCAGTAAATGTTTTAATTAAATGAAAAATCAGCTCATTTGAATGAAAACATTACTGGAATTAAAAATTTTTAATGAACCTCGAAGACATTGTACTAAGTGAAATAAACCAGGATATAAAAAGACAAATATCGTGTGATTCCACATATATGAACTATCTAGGCAAGTTCATGGAGACAGAAAGTAGAAGTTACCAGGGGCTCGGTGGGGAGCGAAGTGGGTAGTTATTGTTTAATGGGTAGAGTTTCTGTGTGGGATGACGAAACAGTTCTGGAGTTGGCTAGTGATTATGGTTACATAGCATGTACTTAATGCCGCAGAATTGTACATTTAAAAGCGGTCAAAATGGTAAATTTTAATTTATGTGTATTTTAGTACAATAAAAAAAATTTTTCAAAATAATTTGCAGATTTCTCATATGAAGGATGAAGAAGGGGCTTTGGTCAGCCAGCTGACTCTGGTTGAAACACTGTGGACAGGAGAGCTGCAGATTCTCCAGGCGTCTGCTGAGACCTTGAACAGCTTGCAGACAGCCTTCACGTAGCTCCAGCGAAGTGTACTTGACCACCTCCTGTGGCGGGTGTGACTTCCTGAATATTTTTAAACTAAGGTTTTTTTTATATGGAATCGTTTACAGTCAATGGATGGTTTTTATTAAACAATTATGTACTTAACCCTATTCCTTTTTCTTTTTTTGGTTTGTGGGATAGAGTGGTGGCTGCTCCTAGGAGCTGGAAGGGGTCTGCCGGGGGTGGAGCAGGTTCTTGGGGCTCTGGAGCTGAAGTGAAGACAGATGTGCTGTCCTCATGGCACTTCTAATGCTCTCAAAATAAGCTATGGTCCTGAGGCAGAGTCTGAGGAAGGTACTGAGCTGTAGCGAGGAGTCGGCGCGGGCTCTGTGTGTGGTCTCTCGCCGGGCGTCCAGCTTCTCTGAGTCAGCAACTGGACGAGGGCAAGAGGCAGTGCTTCTATTTTGCTCTGATACCGTGGGGTTCAGGGGCGTCGTGGCGGTGGGTGGCTTTCGAACGGGGAGACTGGGACAGTGCTCGGCCATCCTAGGTGCCAGCCAGGCCTCATCCCCAGCCACGGAGCCAGAGCAAATCACTTCAAGAGTATATATGCAATCAGACTCCTTGCAAGGAAGCTGTGGCCCCTTGTGGGGCAGTTGGCCGCCTCTAGTTAACCACTGAGCAGGTAAGCCACTGAACAGGTAAGCCACTGTTCACAGGCCACTGCCCACCTGCCTGGGCCTGTCCTGGCAGAATCACTGAGCCAGCAAAACCCACCTCTGCCCTCACGGGGAGGCGCAGCCTGGCCACCTGTTTACCAGGCAGAGTTTTCCTTAGTCTCTAGTTTACCACCCCGCCCCCATCATTGTTTTTTTCCCCTTTGTTTTTTCTCTAGAGCCTGGGGGTTGCCTGAGGTTCCTAACACCCCTTCTCCTCCTTGGTATCTGGTTACAGAGTTGGTGGGTGGCAAACCTCCTATGCTGACTTGGCCTGAGGGGACAGACACTGAGAAGTTAAGGATGATTTGAGGCATTCCTTCAGTCTTTCAAGCTAAAAATAGAAGAGGCTCTGCTCAGACTGGCACACTTTCTGCCTGGGGGTGGAGACGGGTAATGACTTTTTAGGAAATTAGAGCTGCCGTTCTGTGAAAATGGCTTTCCCTGAAGCACCTAGACTGGCAGGGCCATCAAGGTACAGACATCGGGGATTTCGTTTAGGTCCCTGGCGGCAAACAGCGGCTACATTCTGTGTGGTCGGTTCGTGTCGGGCAGCAAGTTCCGTCCCGAAGCGGGAAGTCTGAGTCTAGAG